CAAACTCAAACTTGATGTCTCAACTCACACTATTACAGCCATCTTGTCACAACTTCAGAAGAATAATCTCTGACATTCTGTCATCTTCTGATTCCAGAAGCTTATAGATACTGAAATTCATTATGACACTCATGACAAAGAGCTTCTAGCAATAGTTGCTGTCTTCAAATACTGAAGACACTATCTGAAGAGGAGTCAGGAATCAGTGATTATCTTGTCAGATCATGTCAATCTTTAATACTTTATGATAACTAAGACATTGAATCAACATCAGACAAGATGAATGGAAGCACTCAGTGTGTATAATTTCATATTGCAGCACCATCCAGGGAACACAAATCCTGCAGATACACTCAGTCACCACACAGACTACACAGACTTCTATCATAATGAAACACTGTTGCTCACACTGCAACAAAAACTTAGATATGGAGTCAATCAAGACTGGAATATGAATTTCAACAAAGCAATCATGCTTCTTGCAAACTGTGTACAGATGCATGACAGTGAATAAAGAGTTCCAACATCAACCACCACAGCAGACAGCACAGAGTTCTCAATCAATTTGTGTGATTCATCACAATCTAATTCTATCAACAGCATTAGAGAATCTTCTAGAACTCTTGTGCCACAGATAATGATAAACACTATCATGATATTTAAGACAGCTTACTCTGACATGTCTGAATTCTTGACATCACTACTTCAGCAAATCCAAGACCTTGACACATTTGTTGTATGCCAGAAGCATAAAATAGAGAAGAAAGATACACTTGAAGCTAATGAATCAACATGAATCTTTTTCAAGAATAAAATTCTACATGTGAATGACCACACTTATGTATCACAGCAAAAAGCACTTATTGCTGAGATTCTTCACACCAACCACAACAATCTGCAAGGTGGTCACTTCAGAATCAAAAGAATCATTGAGACTATCTGAAAAAAGTACTATTGACATGAATTATTCTGAGATATTGCAGAATATGTGCAAAGCTGTGACACATGCCAACACATTAAGTCTTGACATCACAAACAATATGGTGAATTGAACATCATTCCATTGTCCACAAAATTTTTTGAGACATTAATCATGAATCTTATCATGAAACTACCCCCATCTTCATGAAAAGACTCAATCTATAATATCATTTTAGTCATAGTCAACATCCTCATCAAGTTCACAATTTATCTACTGTGCAGAAAAGACATCACCACAGAGCAACTTGCAGAATTGTGCTATGAGTGTGTTTTCATCATATATGA